ACCCGCCACAACACCTGGCTATTTTTTTGTTGCAGTTTGGCCGGGGCCAGATTTGAACCCGCCATCCTCGTTTTATGGGACTGGCACCCTACTCACTGAGCAACAGGTGCCACCCCTGCCTAGTAGTTCTTTGTAGCCTTCTGGCACAATGGTTATAGACGTTTAGTGTGTGCTCAGCAAGCCCTCCCACCTGGTTGAGGCCAACCTTTGGTGTTCAGCGTCTCCTAGCCAGTGTGTTTGTGCTCTGAGTCCTCATCCTGCCTCTGCTTGTGCCCCTTCCTCCCAGGTGCCCGCCCCTGCATCCCTAAAAGCTTCGGTTACAGTTCAGTGGTCTGTGTCTGCAATGCCACATACTGTGACTCTCTTGACCCCCTGACCCTTCCTGCCCCTGGCACCTTCAGCCGCTATGAGAGTACACGCAGTGGGCGTCGGATGGAGCTGAGTACAGGGACCATTGAGGCCAATCATACGGGCACAGGTAACCACTATGTCCCTCACCCTTAAGCCAGGCTGGGTCCTCCTGGAGCTAAATCATGCCAGTGTTTCTCCCTTGTGCACTAACACTCTTTATTCTCTGTGGGTGTCCTCAGGGCTCCTACTGACCCTGCAGCCAGAACAGAGGTTCCAGAAAATGAAGGGGTTTGGAGGAGCTATGACAGATGCTGCTGCTCTCAATATCCTTGCCTTATCACCTCCTGCCCAAGATTTGCTACTTAAATCATACTTCTCTGAAGAAGGTGAGGAAGGGGACAAAATGAGATAGGGCAATGGCCAGTTTCCATGGACCTTGACTTCTACCCATCCCTGAGCTTGCGCCTTTTTTTGCAGTTTTTGGCCTGGGCTGGGTTTGAACCCACCATCTCTGGTATATGGGGCTGGCACCCTACTCCTGAGCCACAGGTGCCATCCCGATCTTGTTTCTCTCTTAATGCCCAGTGAAATAAGACTGCCTTGCTGACCTTCTAAGTGCTTTGCCCAGGTGCTGACTTCCACAGGCCCCACCTGTGGAGGGAGCTCAAGTTCTCTTTGGCCCTTACTCAGGCACTGTTGAGAACCAGCAGGTGACAGGCCCAGTCCCACGCTCTGTTGACTCAGACCCCATATCTTGGTCACCCTTAATGGTAGGAATTGAATACAACATCATACGGGTACCCATGGCCAGCTGTGACTTCTCTATCCGCATCTACACCTATGCTGACACCCCTGATGACTTCCAGTTGCACAACTTCAGCCTTCCAGAGGAAGATACCAAACTCAAGGTGGGCATTGGGCTGCTTCAGACTGTGGTGATATTGGTGTCTAGGGATTGAGAAGATTCAGACTGGGGCAGAAAGATGTAAAACTTGCCCCCTGCCCTCATTTTTGTCCTGAGGGTGGGGGCTGACAATTGTACCTGATGTGCTGGTTGGGCTAGTCTGTGTTCCAACTCTGGGTGTCTCTCTCTCCACTGACTTTGTTTCTAGATACCCCTGATCCATCGGGCTCTGAAGTTGTCTCAACGCCATGTTTCACTCTTTGCAAGTCCCTGGACATCACCTACTTGGCTTAAGACCAACGGGGCAGTGAATGGGAAGGGGTCACTCAAGGGCCAACCAGGGGATATCTACCACCAGTCCTGGGCCAAATACTTTGTCAAGTAAGAGATTACGAAGGCCATGGGCTCTGGACCAGCCTCCCCTTTGGATACCCTGGTCTACATCCCACTCTTTGACCTGACCCCACCTCCAGGTCTGTCTCTCCCCATTTTACCTTCTGGCCTCTCTTAGACTTGGGCCTGTCAGTTGTGCCCCCCTGCCTCACCCCAATCAGGTCTCCTGTTCCCTAGGGTCACGGTCTTTTCTCTCATGGCTGTTCTGCCAGGTTCCTGGATGCTTATGCTGAGCAAAAGTTACAGTTCTGGGCAGTGACAGCTGAAAATGAGCCTTCTGCAGGGCTGATGAGCGGGTACCCCTTCCAGTGCCTGGGCTTCACCCCTGAACATCAGCGAGACTTCATTGCCCGTGACCTGGGCCCTACCCTTGCCAACAGTACTCACCGAAATGTCCATCTGCTAATGCTGGATGACAACCGCTTGCTGCTGCCCCATTGGGCACAGGTGGTAAGGCCCAATAACCTCCAAATCCAGTGTCCAAATAACTGGCTCCTGAATTTAATAGGGTCTTCGCCAGCCCAACTATTGATTCCTGTAGTACCACCCACTCTGGTCCCCCAGGGCCCACCCTGTGGATTCCCATGATAGTCACTTGTAAGCCCCTCTCACTGCATTCTTCCCACCATCTACTCTTCAGTACTCTAGTTCCTCTTCCAGAACCCTCTGTGCAGGCTTCAGGGGTCAGTGACTCCCCTTCCCCAGTGGTCCTTCCCTTTGCAGGTGCTGAAAGACCCAGAGGCAGCTAAGTATGTTCATGGCATTGCTGTACACTGGTACCTGGACTTTCTGGCTCCAGCAGAAGCCACGCTGGGGGAGACACACCGCCTGTTCCCCAACACCATGCTCTTTGCCTCAGAGGCCTGTGTGGGTTCCAAGTTCTGGGAGCAGAGTGTGCGTCTAGGCTCCTGGGATCGAGGGATGCAATACAGCCACAGCATCATCACGGTGAGCTGCCGTCTCCCTCCAGCAAAGCAGACCACTTCAGACCCTTCCTAGTCACACTGAAGGTTGGCAGGCCTTCCTTTCCAACTTTTCCCTTGTTAGCCTGCCTTTTGAGGCAATTTTTGGAAACCATAGTTCAATATTTTGCTTTTCCTTCACTGACCTGCACACCCCATCATCTTTTCTCCAAATACTTGGGTCCTGGGATGTTGCATCTGTTTCAGATTTCTCAGCTTCCCCAGATGTCTCTGTAAGATGCCCCACTCACAGGAATGAGCCGCCTACAGCACCTCCTGCCCCCCATACAATACTTAACTACACTCTCTGGGGACCTCCAGTGTTGAGTCTCTCTTTGCTCTTGTCCCTACCCTAGAACCTCCTGTACCATGTAGTTGGCTGGACTGACTGGAACCTTGCCTTGAACCCTGAAGGGGGACCCAACTGGGTGCGCAACTTTGTCGATAGTCCCATTATTGTGGACATCAACAAGGACACATTTTACAAACAGCCCATGTTCTACCACCTTGGCCACTTCAGGTGAGTAGGGGGTGGGCACCCCATTCCACACCAGGCCCATCATTTCCCACATTGGACTTACATCACCTTACAACAGGACAGAACAGGAAGGCATATAGGGTGGTAACCTTGGGAGAGGCACACCCATCCTCTCTTGCACCATGGAGGCAGGATGTGACTAGGTGGCATCTTTCACATAGGTAACCTCTGAATGGCTGGTGCTGGGGCTGCAATGTGGGAAGGCAGGGTTAGTGCCTGGCAGCATAGCTCAAGTCTCATAGTCAGGGCAGAGCTCTGGCCGTAGTTATGGGGTAGGCAGGTGAATTCCTTCTTACATGAGTGTTTGATGGGGGATGTCCTGAGCACCAGGAGGGCTGGGCTGGGGTCCCTAACAATGCCTGTTCCCATACTCAGCAAGTTCATTCCTGAGGGTTCTCAGAGAGTGGGGCTGGTTGCTAGCGAGAAGAGCCACCTGGACACAGTGGCCCTGATCCACCCTGACGGATCTGCAGCTGTTGCAGTGGTGCTGAACCGGTGAGGGGAACAGCGGGGCTGGGGCTGGGCTGAGGACAGGGTGGGCCTTGGCAGAGCCACACTCTCAGCTTTCCCTCTCCCGTCTCTAGTTCCTCTAAAGACGTGCCTCTTACCATCAAAGATCCTGCCTTGGGATTCCTGAAGACCATCTCACCTGGCTACTCCATTCAAACCTACCTGTGGCGTCGCCAGTAATGGAGCAGATATTCAAGGAAGCACCAGGGCTCAGTATGGACATTTAAGTGACAGAATCAACTAAGATGCTATCTGTAGCTAAAGAGGACATAGCAGGGCCAGGGTGAGCTTACAGTGATGTAAGCCCAGGGCCAGTGGTTTGGGTGACTCATTCTCCCCTGTAGTTGGTGCCAGGGGCTGGAAACCCTTGGGGAAAGATCAGGAAGCCCAAGGCCCCCACCTCCATGCTTGTGTGAGCGTATGCTGTGCTGGTAGCCGTGGAATCTGGGCCCGTGCCCGGGCCCAGGCCCAGGGTGAGCTCACTGTCTGCAAACACAAGATGGGGAGGAGGGGTCCAAAGAAGAGACTAGGAGTTGGGGACTGTTTGACTTTCCTGGGGATGCAGAGCTGGGCTCATGTAGAAGCAATGTCGGCATCACAGCAAAAGCCAAGAGCCCTAGGGAGGCTCAGACACCCAGCTGCCTCCCATGGCACCACTAGGAACAATGGCAGACCTTAAAAGAGAGAATGTTTGATTCCAGCATGTGTGAGCAGCTTTATTCTCAGGGGTGGCACCCCATTTCTGGCTGTAACAATTATGGAGGCACAGGGGCCTCTGGAATGCATAAAGGTAGAAAAAAATCAGTCCAGGGAGCATGAGGCTGAATCATTCCTCTTCATCTTCCTCAGCCATACCCAGGGCCTGTGTCCCTGGGGCCCGGGCTGGTGTTGCCCGCTGGATAGAGACAATACCACTGAGTAAGGCATAGCCCACCATGGCTGCCAGCCCTGCCAGCACTGAGAGGACCTGGTTCCGCCGCCGGTATGGCTCCTCGTCAGTCTCTGGGCCTGCTGGTGTCTGGCGTGGGGGTGGCACCTCAGCTGAGGGTCAAGGAAAGGAGGTGAGCAGGAGGCTAGTTCCTGGACCCCTGCCTACTCCCCCCAGGGCTGTCCCCACCTATCTGTGCCTTACCTCCATCCCAGGGGAAGTAGAGGCTGAGGATGTGGGTGCAGTAGGCACAGAGGTTGTGCAGCCCCCGCAGGTGGGCCTGCAGCTTCCCGCTGGGCAGTTTTGCCTGCAGTAGCAGGGCCAAGTAGCTAAAGACAAAGGCATCCAGGGAGGCAGGGCTAGGGCAGAGAGAGAAGAGCAAGATGGAGAGGACATCTGGGGCAAAGGGAGAAAGCTGGAGCTGAAGGAAGAATTAACCTTGGGAGGTGGGCTCTGAGCAACAAGGCGTTGCCAGGGAAGGATGGGACACACAGTTCTGGACCTGGTACTGAAAAAGTTCTTCAGGTGGCGCCAGCTTAGCCCTGAATGGGGCTCTATACCAGGACTGCATAAAGGATACATTGAGTGCCCTACAGCCCTGTAGGCCCCTCCTGTTCCTGGCTGCCCTCCCACTCTACCCTCCTGTAACTCCAAGCCCCACACACAGTCCCACTGTCACCAGAGCCAGTGTCTGTCGCAAGGACTTCATGTCCAGAGCCTAACCCCTCACCCTAGCCCCAGCCTCAGCAGCTACTTCTGAATCTGTATCTTCTTCCAAGCTGCTCACTCCCCCTGGAGTCAGACTCACGCATCTCCAAAGAAGAACTTCTGAGAGCCCAGGCGCTGAGAGAGAAGGGTCAGGCACTCACGAGCTTCTTGGTACAGCTATAGGGAGAACACAGGCAGGCTTATGGCTGCAGCAGTGCCACCTGCCCACTGAAGCATTCCCATTCCTGGCCATCATCCTTGGGGCTCATCTCACACAGCAGCCTCATCCCACAGCTACCTCCTTCTCCAGCTCATCCTCGTCCTCGGGCCTGTGTTCCCCACATAGCAGCTGTAGCCGCTCCATGTACTGGCGCTGCATGCGGCCAGGCAGGAAGAAGTTGAGAGGAAAGGGCATAGCCTCTGCATACCACTTCCGGGTCACTTCCACATAGTTCTTGGTATCTATCCAAAAAGTATGTATCTGGATTGGGTAGGTAGGAAGGAAAAGGCAGGTCTGAGCCAGTGCATCTGCCTGTAAAGGTGGTCTCTTGACCCCCCACACTGCTCTAAGTTTATGTGTAGGGTGTGTTGCTGGCCAGGAGTGCTGGACCAGGCACACTCACCAGCACTGGCAACAGCTTCTCCTCCAGTAAAGACATGAAGGCCAAGGTGTCTGCTCCTTGCCGGGCGGAAAGGTCATAATCAGCATTGTACTTCTGTGGAGGAAATACCCATGAGGTGGACACGGGGAACTGCAGGACACTTTGCCAGAGAGTGAGGAACCCTGTCTGGTCCCCCTCACTGGCCCCTGAGTGTAGTAGAGGCAGAACAAGGAGTTTTTCCTGCTGAGGCCCCCTTGCCTGGGCCCAGCAATAGCCTGTTGCTGTTGGCAGAAAGCCTGGGCCTTGCAGCCCATTGGCCGTCAAGGTCTGTACCCATTGGGGGGAGAAAGGAAGGCCCGGCCACAAACTAGGAGTAGCTCCCAGAGTTTCCACGGAAAGCTGGCAGCTTGCCTACTGACAGCAACTTTCTAACAGTAACTTTCCCAATCCAGACACCACAAAGCTAGCAGAGTGGAGCACAGATGTAGGCTGGGCCTCAGTCCATGCCTCAGGAACTAGGGGACGCCATCCTCACATTCCCTGGGCCCAGTGAACCCATGCCCAGGGCCCCCCAGCTTGTACCCTCAATGCCCAGCTCTTAGCTGTTTCTTCTATTTCATTCCATGGTCCAGGCGCTGCCACCACATACATTCCACATGTGCCCCCAGATCTCAGTCTGCTTCACCTTCCCAGTCTGCAAGCTCTGCTCTTCAGTCTCCCCTCCACATCCGGAATAAACTTTGTCCCCAAAATAACCTCTTGAACATGGTTCTTAAATCTCTCTGAACCTTAGTTCTCCCCTGTGGAATGGGATAAGCATCTCTTTCTCTCAATGTGGCTATTAAGAAATAATTTAAGACAATACTCTGGAAACTGGAAAAGCTCTTTTCATAAATAGGGAACCAAATGGTCCAAGGCCTGCCAGGAGCTTTGGCTTTTATCTGGATCCCCTCTTTCCAGGCCTCTTAAGCCTCCATTAATTCTCTAGCTCCCTAACCTTTGGGAAAGTAGTAATGAGGAAAAGGATCCCATTTCTGACAATGTGTTCTCTCTTGGGACCAGACTGTGAATGCTAAAAGAATTCTTAGAAAGTTTGCTGGCTTAGCCCCAAGTTTTATAAATAAGGAGTGCACAGCTTAGAGAAGTTAAGTAGTTGTCCAAGACCACACAATCAATGACAGAGTGAAAAGCACAGGTCAGGCTTCTCTACTCCTATCATAATATCCTTCCCCAACCTAGCTCTAAGCCTTTGCCTATCCTGAGTCCCACATTCAGCCTTAGTCCCTGAAAACAGAGAAGCAGCCCTTAGAAGTTCCTCTCCAGTCCTGCCATTGAAGTCTTCAGAACCAACTATTGTCTTCTACTCTCCTTTCTCTTCCAGGTGTCATCAGCTTACGCCCCTATCCCTGCCCAGCAGGCAGAAAACCTCTGGATAGCCCAGCAGTACCCTGAGCTTGATCTCTGGCTTAGTATTTTACTGCAATACAGTGACATCATGTGTCTTTTCCTCCATCACACTATGTACTCCTTGATGTTCTGGGTCACCTGTGTCTGGCATGGCTTATATCTGGTGCTCAGTAAATATGTGAACTGAATTGACTAAACTTCCACTGGCAGCCCAATATCCAAGCCACTTACCTCTTTTCGAAGGTGGGTGATGATCTTGTGTGGTACTGAGATGACCTCTCCAAGACTGGTCTGAAGGGCAGGTAGGGTTCCTGACATTGAGAGAGAAGTATGCCCACCAAGCACTTTGCTGCCTATCTGTACATACACATTCCTATCTCTGCCTTGCTCCTCCCTTTGTACACACCCTTCCTCACCCATCAAGGACATTGAGTACCTGAAGGGCTCCGCCAGGGATTAGTGATCTTGTGCACTTTGAGTGGAGCACCAGTAAATCTGGCATAGGTCTGCAGGGAAGGAAGGCAGAAGGCAGAGAGACAGGGCCATGGCCCCCACAGAGGAAACAAGAGAAATAGTATTTATTAACTACCTTATATGTCAGGCCCTTTACTTAGAACCTTAGTACAAAAATAGAGGTAGACATTACCATTCCTATTTTATAAACAGACAATACAGGGTTGAGAGATGATTACAAGTCAGCCAGGAACTCTCCCTCCTCTATCTCCTCTCCTGCTATTTACTTGAACACCTATCTTCAGTAGCTTTTCCCAACCAGTGTCCTTCTTGAAAGCACTGACCTGCCCTTCTATGGCCTGTTCCTACTTATATCTTAAACCTGAACATTTTATTTTTATTTTTTGAGACAGAGTCTCAAGCTGTTGCCCTGGGTAGAGTGTGGAGGCATCACAGCCCACAGCAACCTCCAACTTGTGGGCTTAAGCGATTCTCTTGCTTCAGCCTCCCAAGTAGCTGGGACTACAGGTGCCCACCACAACACCTGGCTGTTTTTTGGTTGTAGTTGTCATTGTTGTTTGGTGGCCCGGGCTGGATTCGAACCTGCCAGCTCTGGTGTATGTGGCTGGTGCCTTTAGCTGCTTGAGCTACAGGCACCGAGCCCTGAACATTTTATTACATTTATTTGCTTACATGTCTGTCCTTCTGGGTTTTTTTGTAGAGATAGAGTCTTGCTTTATTGCCCTTGGTAGAGTGCCATGGCGTCACACAGCTCACAACAACCTCCATCTCCTGGGTTTAGGTGATTCTCTTGCCTCAGTCTCCCAAGTAGCTGGGACTATAGGCACCCGCCACAACCCCTGGCTATTTTTTTGTTGCAGTTTGGGTCCGGGTTTGAACCTACCACCCTCAGTATATGGGGCCGGTGCCCTACTCACTGAGCCATAGGCACGGCCCTGCCCTTCTGTTTTTGTTTGTTTGTTTGTTTTTTGTTTTTGAGAATGAGTCTCACTTTGTCATCCTCAGTAGAGTGCAGTGGGGTCATAGCTCACAGCAATCTCAAACTTGTGGATTCAAGCAATCCTCTTGCCTCAGCCTCCTGTGTAGCTGGGACTAAAGTCACCTGCTACAACGCCCAGCTATTTTTAGAGGCGGGGTCTCACTCTTGCTCGGGCAATCCACTGGCCTTGGCCTCCCAGAATGGTAGGATTACAGACATTAGCCAATGCGCCCAGCATGTCTCCCTTTCTGTAAACAACTAGAAAGGAGAGCCCAAATCTTTTTCATAATTGTAAGGCGATAGTTGGTATTTAGAAGACTCCTAATACATGCTTGTTAAATGAAGGAGTGAGTGAATGAAGTGAACTAAGTCTGATTCCCAAACTTTCTACAGAGCCTGGCTGTGGGCCATTTGGTTCAAGAGAAGGTTTAGTAAATGTTGTTTAGTGAGATGGAGGAAAAGGGGGCCGAGAAGGCAGAAATGCCAAGCCAGACGAGATCTCAGGTAGTTCACCCTAGTACGTGTAAACCTCTGAATGGAGAAACAACACCCACAGAGAAAGGATCGCCCAAGGTCACACAACTGGTAAGCTGACAAAGGACTAAAACCCATTTTCTGAACCCTCGGCCAAGCCACTTTCCATTCTGCACAAAGCCTAAGAAACTGTAGTATACTGCACCTAGCCCATATCTGCCACGCATATTCTTTGGAGTGCCTCAGTTTCCCTCATTGCGCCTGGGCTGAGGAGTCCTGACAAAGTTCAGAAGCTAGGCTAGTTCAGTCCACTCCCAAGTCCTCCAGGCACCATCCCTCACCAGTACGGCCAGGCTGTCCAGGTCCACGGACGGCAGCCCCCAGCCCCCTGACCAGCAGAACAGCTCCATGGGCGCCGCCATCTTGCCCGCCCTCTGCCCCGGAAGCGACTCCCAGCACACTTCTGCACTCTCCGTAGCGGACCCGCCCTCGGCCCCCGCCCCTTCGATAGCGCTGGGCGGGGGCCCCGGGGAGGCCCTGGAGGAGGCGCGGCTTCTGGAGGCCGGAGAAGCAGTCCGACGGCGGTGGGCAGAGCAGCGAGCTTCGGGAGAAGGCGGCCGCCGGTACTTCCAGAGGCGGCCCCCGCAGCGGTGGAGGGCTGCGGGCCAGGCGCGCCTGGGAGAGTCGCGGCGCCGTGGCTTAGTGGAGCCCCGAACCCTCGAAGCCCTGGAGGGTCCTGGAATCCCAGGCGGGCTCCAGGGGCGCTCGTCAAACTGCACGTGTCCTGGAGTGCTCTGGGGCCTCTTGGGGCTCGGCCCCGGTCGGGGACTGCGGGGGGGTCCCCCGAACCGCATGTTTTCCACAGCGCGTTATGTTTGGAGCCGGCCCCGCGCCTCCAGTCGCCATGGAAACAAAACAGGGGCGGCGGCGGCCGGAGCGAGGCCGCGCTGGGGGAGGGGAGGTGGGCGTGCGCCTTGGCCTGGGTGACGCGCGCTCAGGCGCCCCCGCCTCATCCGGGTCACAGCCAGTCCGCTTGTGCCTGCAGTGTTCCTCAGTCTGGTTTTCGGTTCCTGGTTTACGTTTGTCATTGCTGTCCTTTTCTTTCCTCTTTGCTGATTTCTTTACTAGTCTCATCCACTGCTGCTTTATTAGGCGCTTCCAGACTCCCAAGTTTTCTTGGGAATGAGGAAAATGGAGGAACACGCACATGCTGGGGGACCCTCACTCTGATAAAGAGAACTTGCTGTGCCAAAGCAGCAACTTCAGCCATTCGGGCATCCTTGGGCACTACAGTCAACTAATTTGGCCACTCCCTTGGCATCCTTTCCTGCCAGCTGTGGAATAATGCCCCGTCTGGCACTAACCCCTGCCAGGGTTCCTGTCTTCCCAACCACGTCTTCCAGAAAACAGTAACATTCGGTTGTGCTGCGCGTTGAGAATCCCAACAAGGGGATGACAGGGGCGAGGGAGGCACCTGGAAACAGGACTATTGGGAGCAGTAGGTAGGGACGCCTCCAGGACTCACTTTCCGGTGCCCCTGGTTCCCAGAGTTGGTGATGCCTCCGGGGTGATTGGCAGCTCTTTGTTTCGGCCCCCCCCCCGCCCGCCTGCCGGCCCCCCCATCCCCCCGCCCCTGCTCTCCCCGCCTAGCCTTTTCCCCTCCCAGCCGCTCGCTCGTCAGGGATAGCAAGCCGGCTGAGCGGCATGGAGACACAGGAACTTCGGGGGGCCCTGGCTCTTCTCCTTCTTTGCTCTTTCGCATCTGCCAGTCAGGACTTGCAGGGTAAGCCTGTCTCTGTCCTCATAGACCCCTCTCTGCCTCCTTCCCATTTGCTCTTAGTCCAAGTAGCAGGGAACATGTGGGTATGGGGAGAGGGGAAGAGTCCTGAAATTGAGCTGGAGGATAGAGTCACTCTGCCTAGAGTTGGTGGGATGATGGCCTGGTGGAGAGGAGTGGGCACAAGGGAGTGGTGGGTGGGTGGGAACTGGCCATGGTCAGGCATGAACCAGGGCAGAAGTCTCAGGAACTGGATGCAGGGCTTACTAGCTGGGTTGGTGTTTGGGCATCTGTAGGCACCCCTGGTGTGGGAGAGCAGCCGGAAGGTGGGTGTACTATGGGGGGTCCCAGGGCTTCATCCTCAGCTACAGGCTTGCTGCCTAAGGATAAGGTAGGGGTGGGGAAAAAGAGGTCTGGGCTCTCCCGGAGGTCTGGTGGTGGGATGGGCTCATGGTTGTGGGAGAGGTAGCTGGAGCAGATGACACAGGCACAGATTCTTTACTGGCTGGAGGGGAAACCACAGATTGGCCAGGACACAGGAGGCAGAGGAGCTGGGTCCTACATTCTCCGTGGGAGAGAGCCCAGACAGTGGGAGGGTCAGAGGCGTCAGTGGGCAGCTGTCCTTGTTCAGAGGGAGTGTACTGAGACCCCAAAATGAGAGGAGGAGGGGCACTGGGCTGTGGAATGAAACAAACCCAGCAGCGGAAAGAAGCTGCCTCCCGTGTCTGCGCTGCGGGCACCAGGTGCCACTCCTGGCTAAGAGCAGCACAGCAGCCCCCTTGCGCCACCTGGCGGGAGGATCTCAAGCCTGCGGTGCGCTGGGTCTCTTACTTCCAAGTGAGCCCCAGGCCGGCAGGTTCCCAGAGATGGCAGCTGGCAAACCTGAGGGGCAGGAAGGCACAATGTCTCTGTCCTCTGATAGCAACAAGGGTTGAGTTTTGAGAAGGTGACTAACACTTCTGGTGGGGTGAGGGGTGGTGAGGCATGCCCCGCCCCTGAAGACTCAGGGGAGAGGGCAGGCCTCAGCATCTGATCTCTTTCTCTCATCTTGGTAACTCCTGCCTGGCCAGTAATTGACCTGTTGACTGTGGGAGAGTCCCGGCAAATGGTAGCTGTGGCAGAGAAGATCCGGACAGCACTGCTCACTGCTGGGGACATCTACCTCTTGTCCACCTTTCGCCTGCCCCCCAAGCAGAGTGGTGTCCTCTTTGGCCTCTATTCTCGCCAAGACAACACACGATGGCTGGAGGCCTCTGTTGTGGGCAAGATCAACAAAGGTGACTCGTGGGCAACAGGGATCCCCTTGAGCACACTCCCTTACCTGCACTCCCAAGTGCCTCCCAATTCCTTTTGACCTCCACTGGGGACCATGGCCTTATCAAACTGTGCCTAGGCATCAGGGGGGCATGTGGTATGGGATGCTTAGGAGGTGCTTGAAGAGGCCAGGTACCTAAACAATAGGATGAGCCTGGTATTTATAGGGATGGAAGATTGTATTTGGGGATGCCTGAGGGACACTGAGACATGTCTCTATGCCCCAGCAGTGATACAGAGAGGTCTTTCAGATCCCTGGGGCAGTTCAGTGTGCGCCAAACCAGCTTACACTGAGAAGATAGAGCAATCTGGAGACCAGGCTGCGTGCCTGTAATCCCAGCACTCTTGAGAGATCTAAGCGGGTGGATTGCCTGAGCTCAGGAGTTCAAGACCAGCCTGAGCAAGAGTAAGACCCTGTCTCTAAAAATAGCCTGAGTTGTGGCCCGTGCCAGTAGTCCCAGCTACCAGGGAGGCTGAGGCAAAAAGAATCACTTGAGCCCAAGAGTTTGAGGTTGCTGTGAGCTATGATGCTATAACACTCTACCAAGGGCAACAAAGTGAGACTGTCTCAAAAAAAATTTGAGACAATTTTTAATTGGTCTAAACCAATTAAAAAAAAAATCCCTGTGTACCTATTACAGGCAGTTCCTGGGTGACAAATGAGATAGGTTTTGTATGTTTGTTCTTTTTTTTTTTTTGAGACACAGAGCCTCAAGCTGTCCCCCTGGGTAGAGTGCCGTGGCATTACAGCTCACAGCAACCTCCAACTCCTGGGCTCAGGCGAGTCTTCTGCCTCCGCCTCCCAAGTAGCTGGGACCACAGGCGCCCGCCACAACGCCCAGCTATTTTTTTTTTTTTTGGTTGCAGCCGTCATTGTTGTTTGGCGGGTCCGGGCTGGGGATTCGAACCTGCCACCTTAGGTGTACATGGCTGGCGCCTTAGCCGGTTGAGCTATAGGCGCCAAGCCTGTATGTTTGTTCTTAAGTTGAATTTGTAGTAAATTGGAACGGATACATTTACCTGTTACCTGCAGCTCCAACCCCTGCTTCCAGGGTGTGGACTGCATGGAAGTGTATGAGTACCCAGTGTGCGTTATACATCAGTTGGATGTTTGTAACTCAGGGACTGTATATACGAAGTGCTGAGAGATACATAGTTGAATTAGGGGTGGCCCTAGAGCTGTGGTATCCAGTAGAGTTGACCCAAGGGTTTACTGGGAAATGGGATAGGGACAGTGCCCATAATGACCTCTTCTTCTGGGCAGTACTGGTGCGGTACCAGCGAGAGGATGGCAAAGTCCATGCCGTGAACCTGCAGCAAGTGGGCCTGGCAGATGGGCGTACCCATACGGTTCTCCTGAGACTCCGAGGCCCCTCCAGACCCAGTCCTGCCCTGCATCTCTATGTGGACTGCAAATTGGGAGACCAGCATACTGGCCTTCCAGCACTGGCCCCCATTCCTCCAGCAGAGGTCAATGGGCTGGAGATTAGGACTGGACAGAAGGCTTACTTAAGGATGCAGGTGAGCAGGGTGACCCTCTTGAGTTTCTGTGGAAACACCTACACCAGTTGTAACCACTCACTCTGTTGCTATCCCCCCAGGGCTTTGTGGAATCTATGAAAATTATTCTGGGCGGGTCCATGACCCGAGTAGGCGCTCTGAGTGAGTGTCCATTCCAAGGGGACGAGTCTATTCACAGTGCAGGTAATACAAAGACTTCTATCAGCTGACACTGGGCCACAGGACCTGTGGTCTTTGGTGACTCCTGTCCTTCTGATCTTCCTCCCCCTTATCACCTATTCCTTTGGCTTGCCTATTCCTGGGGTGTGTGATCCTGATACCCCAAATGTTTCAACTCTATGTTCTCCAATACAACTATCCCAGGAGGTGTGGGTCAGAAAATCCCCCCATTCAGGTCATTTCACCTAGCAGGGTGTCTGGAAAACTAAAATAGTCCAAGAGACAAACACAATTGTGAGAAGTCTGGAGGGCAATGGGAGGGAGCAGTTGATTGCTTAGTCCTGGTTGACTGAGATATTGGTCTGGGGTCTTTTTTAGCTCCCCCTGGCAGCTGTCACTGACCAGCAGTTTTTCTGAGCATTGTCATTGCCCACCTGGCTATTCTCTCTGGCAGGCATATTCACAGGCTCACCTAAATAAGATGCTGATTTCTCCCAGATATTTCAAAAAAAGAGCTATTGAAGTGAAAACTTGGGAGGATGGACATATAGTGGGACCCTGCCCCTGCTTTGGTCTGCCTCTCATTTGATCTCTTCTCTTCTGTTATTACGATGGCTGGGGGCCTGGAGGATTTGAATTTTGACCTCCTATGAGATAACTCCCTTAGAGAGTCCCTTGTCCCCTGCAAAGAGCCAGAAATCCTTGCCTGTTGGCTCTGCCTTCCCACCAGCCAACACCCCATCAGGATTCTGAGGCTCCAGCCCTGTCCTCCTCACATGCCAGGCCCTACTTCCTCTCTCTACCTCATGCCTCTGACTGTGTTTTCTTCTCCTCTCTAGTGACCAGTGCCCTGCACTCTATCCTAGGTGAGTCAGCTACCATGAAGCAGAGAGGATGAGGGTGGGGAGACCCCAGGCTTTGGTAGCTGCCTGAGTCCTCTTCAGGCAGGAATGGGGTGGGTCTAAAGGCAGGGAGGTGGGTGGGGTGGGACAGTAGCTGGCTTACTACCCAAGGAGGGGCCAGGGCTGGAACCCCAGTTCTGAGCCTCTCCACACCCTGGGCCCCAACAGGGGAGCAAACCAAGGCGCTGGTCACTCAACTCACCCTCTTCAACCAGATCCTGGTAGAACTGCGGGATGAT